CAGTCCACTGCATGAACCTGACTTGCTCTCAATGCATTTTTCCTGGCTGGATTTTTTGCTGTCCACTAACTCTTCCCCACACTCAAGAAATATTCACTACAGACTCATCTTCCCTGGGGAGCAATAACAAAACCTCCTTACCTGGTGGCTCATTTCCAAAAAATTCCCCACTTTTAACTAATTAAATTGTTACTGTGATCTCAACTGCTCTTCAAGTCCCTTTTCAATGGGACAAAAATTTCACAACTTATGAAAATGAAAGGATATAAAAAATGATTCACAAAGGACTGTGTAAGCCTTGTTCCCTGAGGAGTTAGGCTGAAAATGTCAAGTATTACTGAACACAGCAGAAACACAAATTTTTGCTGCATCCAAAATAAATTGGTATTTACATCCCTCATCAGAATGTCACTTTTTATAGCTACTTTTTATTAATTTTCATTCTGTAATTAAGGAATACAAGAAAAGCATTGTATTCTGATGGGATTAGAGCAAATAATGGGGATTGTGAAAGGCCTAGAGCCACTACAGTAATACTTTAATCCTTGAAAATACACCCTGTCCTCCTGTAATTAAAAAAAAAAAAAAAAAAAAAAAAAGCAACATGCCAAAAAAACTCCAACAAAAATAAAAACATTCCCTAGGGAGACAGATCTGATAGTCCTGGCAGCTTGACATACATCCAGAGCACTAATACACCAATTGTACAATAATAAGCAACTGATTAGGTGTAATCATTGAGCCATACATGCAGTCTATCTTACAGGTTAGGCTTGCCACTCTGTCTTAGCTAATTTTACTCTGAAATAGTCCTGTTCCCACAAATAAAAAGTTTCCACAAACCAAAAGTCAGGTAAAATCCATCCAACAAACTTAATGGTAGTTTTTCTTAAGGAAAACAAGGCTAAAATCAACCATTTCTGCAGAGGCATTTTTGTCAGTCTACCAACCTCCACAAATCTTTATGGAATTGGGTGGGATGGGGACAATGAGGTTCACATCTTGGTCTCTGAGGCAGATTGGAGACAGGGTGGCAACTGCAGGCAATGCTGCAGCACACCTCCATTGGACAGTGGAGAGCTTAGCTGGGGTGGAAATATAGTATGTATATATATAATAGTTCTAACAGTAGCATATATCACACTGGCCTAGTTCATACTCCATGGTATGTGCCCTTGGATCTCTTCTTGGCCCAAGGTGGAGCTAAGACATAATTATCATGAGGGGAAGGAGGAGCAGGTCAGTGTGTCTGAAATGAAGGAAATGCTTCAGGCCATCATTGTCTGAATATCCTAGACCACCACTGAATACCCTGAGGATAGGATGAGGGCATGTGGAACAGTTTCAGGCTGCGAGATCAAATGGGACAGTGGAATTTGTTAGGCTGAAGAACTAGAGACCAGCACCTTTCTTTTTTTTTAAAAAACTGTGAATTTCACTGTGTTGCTGTTTGTCACCATCTGCAGTGGAGGCCACTGAAGAGCAAGACTTGTCTGGAAACTCTGCATTTTATCTTGTGAATTAATTTGAACACATGCTTAGAAGCTGACAGCTGACAGTCACAAATCTAATCAAGAAAATGATGGAGGCAACCACCGTAACTGAAAAGGGCAAAGAAATGTCAGCATTTGCAAAATGTAACAAGAAGCGAAGTATGCTTTTATTTATGTAGATTGTAGTCTCATTTCACCTACAATAAAAATAGACTCCTAAGTCTGAAGGGTTTTAAAAAAGTTTATCTACACACAGAGACCAACAAAACACAGCCATGGGACCCACAAGTGAGAGCTCCCTCTTCAGTGCTGGTTTGCTCTGGCTGCATTCATTTTTCCAGCAGCGTGACAGGACACACAACATAGCCAAATCGTAGCACAGCACTTTACCCTTGATTTGCTCCAAACACCAGAGAAGTTTAATGGTCTACTTAGGCCTTTTCAAAATATATGGTAGCTAGCCAGTGAAAACCTGGAGCCTTCATGCTCTTAAATGAGATAATACCATACTTTAGGAAGAAATAACTCTTCTAATTCTTCACGTTACAGTACTCTGGATTAAAAGTGTGCCTGACTGTGCTGTACATGCACAGAGCTGGCAGGGGCTCCTGGCCCCAAACTGCAGTCTCAATAGAAGAACTGGACAAGCAATAGCAATACCCAGGTCACGCCTGCAGCAGAGAATGGGCATCAACCCCATGATTGCTGAGGTATAGATGGGCAAGCTCCACGCTGGACCACATAGCCACTGACCTTGACAAATCCAGACTCGTCGTGTCGTAAGGTCCAGGCTGGATCTGGAGATGCTACACCACACCATTACACAAAGGCAGAGATACACAGAGTAGCTATGTGTGCCCACCACACCTATACCCGTGTGGGATCATAGGGAAGAGGGCTCTGAAGTAGCCTGGTCTGGCATGGCACACACATCTTTATGCAGCTTTCTCATGTTTTGCTTCCCAGGGGTTGTGGGAGCATTATGGAAAGTCAAAGAAATGGATTTCAATCCTCAACCATCCTTATGGTTGGGTAAAGCCTTGCTACTCTCACGGCACCAAGCAAGGGAAGGAAAGGCCCTGGTAGAGAAGAGGGTGGCATGGCCTCTTCGTGGTCTAATCAAACCCTTTCAGTACCTAGTGAGAGGTGGAGGGCTGGGATGGGGAAAGACATCCCTCCTTTCTTTCATCTCTCAGGAAGGCAGGGACACATCGAGTGAGATACATTGCCGACCAAACCCGGTCCCTCCCAGCTGCCCTCCGCTCTTCACTGCACTGGATCTGGGGGCCAGGAGCAAAGGTAGCATGCAGCCAGAGAGGAAAAAGACAGAAAATACTGTTGGCAATTGAAAAGGTAACGAAAAATACTGTGTGATTTTTTTTTTCTTTATAAAATGTAAAGAACATATACCCTTTGAGGTAAAAGTGAGACCAGTTTGTAATTTAACCAGATACATTAACAACAATGACAAAAAATAAATCTACAGTGGGTGTGCTAGTAAAATAAGAGACCGAGTTTTAGCTATATACAATACTTGAGATCGTTAAAATGTATTAATCATTATATATACATTAAATACATTCAATTACAGTTATTTATATAATATTTACACACACAAACACACAGATTTTTTCCCTTTGCAGTTGGTAGTGTGCAAGCAGAAGCGCATCTGATCTTTCCTGAGAAGGTGCTGAGGCTGCTAATTCTTACTCTCAGTAACGTGTGTTTCTTCAATCTCTTTTGTGGCCATATCCATCAAAACCAATTCAGTAGATTTACAGTCGTGGTTGTTGCAGTGTTCCTATTTCTTCCCCATGGGTGGAGGGCTGCAAACCTCCAGCCTGCAGAAGGAGAAGACTTGTTGCATGCAAAGATCCTGGATCCCGAGGAATTGGTGGTGATTTTTCTCCAGTAGTCATCCATGACCTTAGCTGTGAGCGAAGCTACATTAACACTCGTTTGTCTAAGCACTTGCCAATATTCACGTCTTTCTCAATGGAAAAAAATTCACAGAGAATAGAAATGGAAGGAAATTGGCTGCAAGTCACCTGTCATAGGTCCTTGGTAGGCTCTGATAAGGTGACATTCAGCCTGACCATGTCATACAAAGAACTGGCTAGGAGAGACCGTGAATCTACTGGGATGCATGCAGACACGCCTACAGAGGGAATGCAAACATAATTGTCCTATTTACGTTTCAATTTCTTGTCAGGCGTCCGACACAGATTTTATAATTAATTGCTCTCTGTAAGTTACAAAATGTGGCAAATGACTGGGAGCCCATTGCTGAACTTGGATGTTTTGGGGTGTTTGAGGAGGGGCACCACAGGGAGGGGGGAATTACTGCCCACAGGTAAAGTATCACTGCATTCTCTGATGACTTGATCAGTTTGTTCTTGAGTGGTCTCTTTATAACGCAGCTACTTCTCTGAGACTTATGGGTAAGATGCTATTTTATTGAAGGAAAGTCTTAGTGTCATCACTGATACCTCTGAAAGACTTGCTTTCCAGAAGCACTCAAGTGCAAATGGGATGACAGCTTCACAGACTTTGGATGTGGTGTTCCGGGGAGAAAATACAACAAACTTCCCACAATGTAAAGCTCCTGTTCCAAGCTGCCTCATCTGACAGATACAAAGGAAAACTATACCGTTATTTTAGTAAGTCACACCAGGTTGTGCCATCCCAAGTATCCTGTATTTGGGTTAATGATAGCTCTTATATTTTATTATATCTTTTTTCTAACCCAGAGATTCAAATACTGTAGCCTCGTCAAAAACAGCCAAAAAGGGACCTGAAGGTGGTCTGGGGGTACAGAGGGAGAGGAGCTTAAAACCAGAAAGGGAGGAAAATGTGTTTTAACACTGCTGGCATAGGAACAAAAGATGCTAAACTGGCGATAAACACTTTCATGCTGGCAATAAGAATGGGGGTGGCAAGCCTCCCAGCAGCGAGGTTTCACAACAGCCTTTTGAGCAGCGCAGAGGGCAAGAAGCAAATGCATCCTCCCTCTTCTACCTTTTAATCGGTTTTCAGATCAATGATTTTGTGAGCAGGGGCACGGTGGGGGGGTTGCTGGCAGCAGGTGTGCCCAGCACACCCCTCCCCAGCTCCAGTCCCGCACAGCTCCCTTCCCAGCCTACAGCAGTCCGTGCTGGGACACGTTCCTGTGGGACCTACGGCATGACACCGGAGTCAGGGGTTTAGGGAAAGATGACATAAAACTTCTGGACACCAAATGTCTGATGACTGCAGGATTGCATGAGCTGTGGGTCGCTAAGCTCCTCTGCACGAAGGGAAATCAAATGGTTCGTACGTGCTGGTTTAATTCCTTCTGTGCTGCTGAGAATGACACTGGCATTGTGGTGGGGCAGACATAAACAAGGGAGCACAGTCTGTGGTGTTGCTTTTTTGCAAAAAAACAACAACAACAAAAAGAATTTGAAATGTAATAATAACCTTTTTTACAGCTTTTTATAGTTTTATGGGAAAATACAAGAATTAATCCAGATGGCACCCGATCTCTTTATTAGCGTATCTAGGCAGAGAGTGCTTATAATACCAAACTGTTTCTTTTTTATTGAACTGCTCTAGAAAGCCATTCTTGTGATGGATCACAGTTCTTCTTGGGGAGGAAGAGAGCTTCAATTATCCTTTGATACATGAAAAGACATTACTAGCGAGTAAACCCTCCAAAAATAAAACCAGGTAAGCCTCTTCCACTAAGGGTGGAAACAAATCTGATCATTCTGACTCAACAAAGGGATTTCACTGACCTTACAAGGCAGTATAAGAGAAAACAAACTTGAATAAGCTGATGTTTTAACTGATCAACTTAGTTTTAAAGTTTGGGGATCCCAATTGCCCCAAAAGCTGTTCTAACTAAATGATGCCATTTACACTGGTGAATGCAACAGAGATTCAGGTGCTGGTGTCAAGAAGGAAACTGCTCCAGCATCAGCAGAGGTCAGTATTCATGCGTGGGGCTTGCAGGCATTCAGGTCTGGCAGCTGCAGCTCCAATTCATTTGGGCGAACCAGCAGTTCTTCTCCCCAATTAAGTGAAATTTCACATTTCTAAGGATTTCTGTGGGATTGACAATAGCACACCCTTAGATAATAGTCTCCAAAAACTGGCTGAGATAGGGTCAGTGTATCGACCCTTTCCTCCACTAGTTAACGCCTTGATGACATAAGCCATTGCCACTTTGATGGGCTCCCAAGGAGCTGCTCCTGCTTTCAAATCGTGCATTTGTAGCTGGGTTTGTAACGTGTTTTCCCCCTTCCAGTCTCTGCTTTTTTATGCCCCCTTGTGTCCCATCCAGGATCCGAGCCTGGCTGGAGAAGTGGTGGGTTGGTAGCACAGTGAGATCAAAGTGCTTCATAATTGTATGTGGGATTTCACATTCTCACTACGTGCTTTGTGAAAGAAATGAACTTGCGTGGTTTTGTTGGAGGCAATGAAAGGGGAGTACTCCGACAACGGCCTTATTCTCCCAGATCATCCTGAGAAAGAATTAAAAAAAAAATGATAAGTTCATGAGCTCCACCTACCTCTGCCTTGGGAACCCCCAGCTAGCTCCCACAGCCACCCCCACAGAAACCGTGGTTGTGGACCCCAACAGCCAAGTGCTGTAGTTGCTGCAAAGTCCATGTTTGCACAATCGTGTATTCGATGTCCAATTTAAAAATACATCAGAAACCTTACTGGACTGGATACCCAAGAACTGAATGGCAGGGTTTAGCAAATTTCATAGATGAGCCGCCAGGTCAAACTCCCTTTGTTGGATTGCCAGTCCAAAAATTTTATCAATACTACATTCATTTTTACACAAAAATAAAAAAAAAGGAAAAAACAATCAAGACTAGGAAATACATATCTCAGTTTGTATTTCTTACTCACGGCTTAGACACAGCAAAAGCCTGTTGCCTTTTCAGTGGCTTATATTGGGACTGTAAAGGAAGATAACACTACACCTAAATCAACATCTGAAAGCGAAAACTGGCTTCTGCACCCAAGCAGAGTAAAATAGAAATAGGCATGGGAAATAAATTTCTTTTCACACAAAGACCTGAGCTTTTCAGGACAAACAGATTACCCTGCCCCAAAAGAAGACATCTGTGGTCTTTGGCTGCCAATTGAAAATGTTTGTCAAATACTCAATGTGGGCCTTGAACAACGGAAAGAAAAATCAAAGAGGAAATAGGGATTTCAGCTGGCAGTCTTATCTTGGGATCTAAACAAGCAAGCACGACCCCCATTTCATTATATCCTGTCTGTCCTCATCACAGCTGCCTGAGCGTGAGAGGACGTTGCAGGGCACTTTCCAGGGCAGCCCTGGGGCCAGAGCTCGGCCCGCCTCTTCCAAAACTCTCCTCCTGGCCTGTGCTGATCAATGGGCACCCAAATTTCCATTTTCTTTGAGTCTGGTATTGGAAGGGACAAAGTCCAGTGAAAAATGGGATAATACGTTAAAGAAAATGGAATGCTTCATGTTTTACTTCAAAATGACTGACAGATTGTCACTCTTTTTTTTTTTTTTTTTTTTTTTTTTTTTTCCGTATTCCCCATTTCATCTGAGCAGGACAGTGAAATCGGGTGTCATGAAATACAGAAGAATGAGGTTTGTCTTCAGCAAAGCGAGGGCATCCCCAAGCAACGGTGACCCCGCGCAGCGCCTGCTGCAGCTGCTGCTCGCACCACAAAACGAGCAAAAAAGAGCCGCCCAGATCGCACGATGGCCGGAGACAGAATAGGAAACGTTAACGGGAGAGTCTGCTGCAAAAAAAACTCCCGTGCATCCGCTTCTGCCAGGGCTCCCGGCAGCCTCGGGCAAAGCCAGCCCCTCCGAGGACAGCCACGCCAGACGCGCCCGCAGAGAAGCCCCTCGCGACCCCGCAGCTCTGCGGCTTTCACAAGAGACCGGCGGGAAATCCTGAATTACGAAACACACCAAACTCCTAAGCAAAAATCTGCACCAAGGTCTCACCGTACCCGGCCTGGTCCTCCACCCACGATTAAAATTCAGTGCTCACCAGTGGGAAATCTGTTGCTTGTTCGTTTTGTTTGTTTGTTTGTTTGTTTGTTTGTTTGTTTGTTTGTTTGTTTGTTTGTTTTTAAGGGTGTCAAAGCCCACAATGCATCCAGGCTCTGAGTTCCCACCATCTCCCAAGCAGCCTTCCCGCCGCAGTGTAGGGATTACAGACAAACTGCCTACAAACCAGGGAGCTGACGGCACCCTTGGAAAGCTCCAGCCCCTGAGCATCACCACTATGGACCATTATATCTTCACACACCACCAGTTTATCGGGGAAAAACCAAGCGACCCCAGTCACACCCATCCGGGGTGCGTGGGCACATTGCTCAACAAACACACATACCACTTGGCATACCTTACCTGGAAAGAGGCTTTATTGAACATAGCTGTAAAATTATCTCTTCAGTTGAATTACTGAATTTGCACAAACATTTCTCTACAGAATAAAAAAAATCAAGCCTTGTCATTGTTTTACTGCATCTCGTTGTGCTTTTTATACTCATATTTGCAAATATTATACTCATTTGTTTGTTTGTTTTCATGTTTGTACTCCAATTACTTGCATATCATGTTTGTTTTTTTTTTTTAATCCTAGGGTGTTGAGAGAACACAGAATAATAATTATAATAATTATAATAATTATAATAATAATACTCTTCTTTAGACAAAAGTCTTTTTTTTTTTTGTTTTAAATGAAGTTAAAAGCTGAGATAATTTAAGGAAAAAGGTCTTCAAATTGTCATAACCAACTGTAAGGGAACTTTACAATGCAGTGGAAAACCGGCTGGCTAACGGTACGTGTTCGGGTAGCTCAAAACCATTTGTACAGCTTTTATCTTTTTGTTGTAAAAGTGGAATATTTTTTTTTTTTATTTTTTTTTTTAATTTTTTTAATTTCGCTACAGTAACAAAATAATCTTTCGTGATCTGCACAGAGTCTGGCTCCAGGGCAGAGGCACGGCACGCCGGGTGCTTCGCTGGCGCCAGGTTTGCAGAGAGCTCCGCGGTTCGCCCGGTGTCTCGGTACGCGCTGCCGGCCCCCACGCACGCCCCCCCGTCCCGCTAACGCCGGGGCCGGCCGCCGGGCGAATGGAGGTGAGAGTAAGAAAAATCACTCCTGCGTTCTACCACCTTCTGCGCTAAGTGTATCTTAACAACCTTTTCCTCTGGTTGACCCACTTGATAACCTGAAAAAAAAAAACACCACCAACAACAAAAAAGTGCTGCTCCCATTTCCAGGACCAACGGAAGCTATTTTCTAATGGATAATAAGCTGAAAGGCCATGGCTGTCTGGAAGGTTAAACAACAAATATCTCATCCAAAAGGGCTTACTCAGCAGTTTAGGTCCATCCATCTCCAGAAGCGGCTTCGTCTCCTTGCCTGCAGTCTGCACACCCAGGCTCCGTAGTTTGTTTAGAAAATAGTTTGCACAAACCACATTTTAGCAGTGCAAGCTTCTCTGTTGAAATTATTATTATTATTTTATTTTATTTTATTTTATTTATTTATTTTTAAATCAGGCTTGTTTCATTGAAGGCACTTGGTTTCCATGGCAATTTATAAAAGACGGTGGTTTGGTTTCTTCACTTCATTAGAACAGATGACTTAGTTGGGGAGGGGAGAGGGGTGTTCAAGTGGCCGCAAGCAAACTCCAATAAGCCTGTGTAATATGTAAGCCCAGGTCGCACATCCTGGATAGTAATGCATGCAAAAGGAGACAGCATACAGTTATCAAGCATAGCCATGAGAAATGAAACATAAATGTCTTAAAACAGCTCTGATTTAGGGTTATTCTCTAGGGGGGGTGACAGCCAAAATAGAAAGGGCCTACAATTATTTAACTCTATACTAAAAACCTTCTTGAAGGGAAAATGAATGCCAGCTCTTCACATACCCTGTTTACAGTGAGGTGTTTCTCTCTCTGTTTTTATTTCCTCTCTCCTTCCTTTTTTTGTTTTTTTCTTTTTTTTGTTTGGCAGGCCATTAGGTTTCCATGGTAACAAGCAAACTATTCATTTGAAACAAAACCAGCCATGACTTTGTGCTTTGACAAGGGTTTCTATAGCTCTTTTCCGAGAGTTCAACCAGATGATGCTGTATTCATTATTGACCACAAAAGCACCTGAAGGTCTCTTCCTTACTTAGGCCAGATCTCGTTCTCACGCGTGGTTCATAGTGAGTTACACTCCCGTGATGCCTTTTATGTCCCCAGTGCTTTTTAATTTTTTTTTTTATTTATTTATGTATTTATTTAACTTTTGAGTCAGTCAGTGGAGGAATCTTTGGTAGTTTGTTTTTAAATGTCCATTTTACAAAGACTCTTTCTTCATGCCAGTGCCTGTTGAATCTTTTGTAGCCTCTGCCAGGATAAGGTCACCTCTGATGACTTAAGACAGACATGAGGATGATAACTGGGATAAGTCGTATATGCGCTAATGTCCCAACAGCACCTGATCGTAAATCTACAAAAAGGGGGGAAAAAGGTAGAATTAAAGAGCTGCCCAGACACAGTCAGCATTGCTACAAGGCTTCGAAGACAAAGGGCTCAGCCACCACGACCTGTCCGGCGCACCAACGCAGAGGCAGTCGGGGAGGACAACAGGGTGGTGCTCACCCGGGCTGTCTCCGCTCGCCACCCCGAGTGCCAGTGACCAGGTCCCTGCAGGGACAGCTCTCTGCAAGGTCACCTCCTACAGAGAGGGGATGAGGGCCGTGCTCACCAACTGAATGGAGCGGGAGATGCTGGGATAAAACACCCACCTGGTTGTGCAGTTAAAGGTCTGGACTGTAATGCACACATGAGGGCGGAGGGATGAAGCAAGGTCCGCAGGGTTCACAACCCTGATATTCATTAATTTCATATTGTTTGGACGCCCTGAACATTTTTTTTAATGTTATTTTATCCACCTGCCCACCTCGAATCACGGCTGCCCAGCCCAGCCCCATCGTGGAGCGCAGCCCACTGCTCTTGCCTCTGACCAATGCCCACCAGCTCTTCACTTGCCTCTCAGCTAAACCAGCATTTTCCCACCTGAACAAAGACATTTTGACTCCAGAGTTTGCTTCCAAGGCAAACGGTTCACTTTAAGCCTCTCCAACTGAATCGAACAATATATTATTCTCCTGGAGAAAATCCATTTCAGAAGGTGTCTCAAATTTATAACCACGAGAAGCAATTTGCTCTCCCCCACGTGTGGAAGAGCCACTTACTGTTGGCCGGTTGGTCTGATTTCATACACTCTCCTTCCACAATTGATACATCATCAATAGCAATATCACCTTCAATGCCGGGGCCCCGGATCCCTTCAAAGATGAGCTGCACAAAAATAAAGAAGCAGCAGATCAGAGGGTGATGAATGAAAAACGTTCAGCTGCATTTTGCGCAACATTAAACTACACTGATAGGCTTGGAATAATTTGCACTTTCTATGGTGTAAAAAAAAAACCCGCAACCAAGTTCACACGTACTTGTAAGGTGAACACAGAAGATGTGTGAGACGTGGAGGCTTTTGCTCTTCAGAATGAGCTAAAAAATATCAGAGCTGCTAGTTGTCTGCCTAGTTGTCTACCTGGTGCCTCCAGCTCAGCTTCACCACTGTGCTAACTGTAACGTGTACTTATGGAAGTATGGTATTTCTGGAGCAAAGAGCAGGACTAAATGGACAAAAAGTTTTAAATAAATTTGGGGTGTTTTTTTTCAGAAATTCCTGCCACCTGAATCGAGTGGTAGAGGCACAGCTTGAAGAACAGCATCTGCGACGTGCTGAAGGACTGAGCATCCGCTTGACCACAGACTGCACGAAAACACACAGAAGCCAGGAAAACTCCACAGCAAATTGAGGTTTCTGGCTCTTGAAGGTGGCCCAACCAGTCCCTCCACCCCATCTCACACTGGGAACTCATCTACACCCTGGTGGCACTTCCCTGAAGGTGGGAGGAGGACAGGACCTGCCACCCTGAAACCTTCCCCTGGCCCATGAAAGCTTGGAAGAAACCTCTCAGGAGGCAGGTTGGTGTCCCTTCACCCATAACTCAAAGCTGTATTTATCTCAAGGGGTCAGGGACTACCTTTGATTTGGATCCCCTGAGGTCCCACACTGATCTCCTGCAATCACCTAGGTGGATTTTAACCTCCCAGATATCCTGCCATGACCGGAATTGATGAAAGTGACAGTCCCCACTTACTCTCCTGTCTCTTTTAGTGGCTCATCATCATGTCTAGAATCTTTGATCACTTCTAGGAATGGTATTATATTTATTAGAGGACATTGCGATGTGTTTTATCGCAGAGAGGGTCAGGTTAAAGATTTTATTCCTCTTCAAGGCTTTAACCTCTACTCAATGGATGCCTGTGATTTCAAGGTCCTATTAAGCACTTTCTGTCTAATATTCCTAGTCCGAACCCCAACTGCTACAGCTGGGAAAGGAAATGGTGTCTTCATGGAGATGGGTGGTGTGTTGCAAGGTCAGTAATATTATTTGCTGTAATGTTCATTATTAGCCATGGATTACTACTGTACTGAAGAAACAATGTTATCTGCTCTCCTTCCCCAAGCCCGATGTGATGCTGTCCTGCCAGACTGCTGCTTAATTAGCTTTGCAGAAGAGTGGACTCATTCTGCGTTGCGAGAAATGTTTTCACTAGAAAACTTCAAAGCTGTTCTAAAGAGATGAAGGAATTATGTAAGGAATATATTTCCCAAGCAGCACCATTTGCACAGTTATCTCTCCCTTCCCTTTCCCCCCCCGCCCCAAGTCCTTTGAAATATTTTTGGTTAACTTAGATGACAAGTTTTTTAACTTTAATCTGCAACAATATATGCAGGAAATTCAGTGAATTTTATAAGGGCGTGCTGTGGCACTAATGGAGACATTAACTCTAGGGGGTAGAGTCAATTTGAAAAAAAAAAAAATTAATTCCATCTGGAGCAAAATACTTAATTTACACTTGATAATGATCTCACTGCATCAGGGAGATGTCTGGGGCATTTGGATGGGCTCTGCTGTCATTGATTTCAGCAGGACACAGATCCAAGCCTCTTCTTTTGGCAGCTTCTAACATTTCTTTGCTCATTAATACAGTTCAACCAGAGCTGCTCATTGGAAATGAATACCTTTCATTATGAAGGATGAGTAAACACTCAGGGCAGTGGGAGATGACCCGGTAAATCACAGGGGTCCAGCTGCGAGTCCAGCTGGATGACTATCACCCAAGGACCGGAGCCCAACGGTGCACGATGGCACCAGGCGCCACAATCGCACGCGCAATTCTCTGCTCGGCCTTTCCACCCAGGGCACGTCCCTCAACCCTGGCCACGGACACATCTCGTCCTTTTGCTACGCTGAGCATCCCCGGTGGGTGCCTGACCCTGCAGCGGTAACTTGGCAGTGTAAGGCACGTAATTACAGCCCGCCTGTTGTGTCCGAAGCCAGGCAGCAAGGTCTGTGCTGGGAGCACTAAATAAACCTAAAAGCTGTGCATTTGGAGCAGGAAACTCCATCGGTATTTTATTGAAGCGCGACGCTGTAGGTTAATTACTATAACAAGGTGGATATTAATGCAACAGGGAACTGTAATTGGGAAAACAGTAAGTTTTTCTATAATTTATCCTGTTGTCTGAAAACAATGTCTCAAGTAATTATCCCTCTGACAATTTTTCAGCTCTACCTCTGATGAGGGGAAGTATTCAGCTTGAGAGGAAAGTGTCTTCTCTTCTCCCCCAAAGTACAGCTTGCCCTCCCGCTCCTTGGCAGCAGGCATATAACCAGTCAACGGAGTTTAAAGTCAAATCTTTCCTGATAATGAAAAAACACTGTTTCCAGACAAAAGGACTCTATACAAATACAACGGCCAGCATTTAATTAAAATCTGCGTTTGGCAGTGCGTTTTATGGTCCTCAGAGACGGGTTGCTCTTAGCCAGCTTGGCCACATGCTCAGAACAAATCACTGCAGACGAGTGCTGGCAAGGCACGGAGCACAACCCAGCCTGCAGATCACAGCTATTTGCAGGACGTGCCAGATGATCAGAATCCCCTGTCAGTATCCCGCAAAAACTATTATCTGAACGTCCGTGACTTTACAAAGCTGTTGCTAAAAACACTGCATTTAGCTGAAGAACAGAGGGGCTTGCCCGGACAGAAAAGGCCACTCTGCTCTCTTAGCAGGGGAAATGGAAACAAGCCCCTATAGTGCCTCCAGAGTTATCCCCAGTGTCTCCCGGGGATTCAGTTCGTGCTTCCTCAACAGGATTTCAGAAAGATTTTACCTTCCTGGCCAGTCTCCTAATAAGAAATAGAGAGAAGCCTCATGACTGTCCCCAGCCGGAGAGTGTGTTGACAAGGGTGTAATCCCCTTACGCTCACGGTAAGGGGCTGAAAATCTCAGTGATCATTTACTTAAGGGCAGATCAGTCCCTCTTTGGTCAAAAAATGTCTTTGACAACAGAAGGTGTCAAGGAAAGCGTAACTGAATGTAGTGGCAGTGGTCTCGCTCAAATCCGAACTAAAACTGACACCTTCTTAGATGCCTGCATGCAATGTATCACTTCCACATGCCCTCTTTTTTTGTGTTTACTCTTTAAAAATACTTAATAAGTGAATAGCTTGCTGAGATAGCTTTTATACAATACTTTTTCTGATTCAAAGCGCTGTAGTCCTCTCAGTTCTTCATGACAGAAGCTTTGTTATATATCACAGGGACTGGGAAGTTATAAAGCAAATCTGGGCTGTGCTTTTACCCATATAAATTAACCCATAAAAAGTTTTAATTTCTGTGTCAGTGTACTGTTTTACTGCAAAGATTCACTTCAATTCACTCTCCTTAAATTTAACTGGGAGGTTTATATTCTTTCCTACTTAGACTCCTAAATGGAAAATAAAGTTTGTTTGATGCAAGAGCTGCTAAAAAAGTAATTTAAGGTTCCAACCACTCTGACATTTATTTGTTATATTTGTGCAGAGCTTTATGGCTTTACATTCATTTTACGCCGAAGCCTTTAAACACAACAATGCAAAAGGTGAAAAACAGCCAAGCAGCGAGGCTTCCATTTCGTGGACCAGCTAGTGGCACCAGTGAGGATGGTTTTAAAGCAATGGGAGCGAGGTGCGCCAGTAGCAGAAGCAAACCCGGTAACTGTTCTGAAAGCAGCGGGGCCCTGTGTGAGGGCTGATGCTCAGGACCCACGGTGAAAGCAGCAACCCGGGTACCAGGAGCTGCAGGCAGTGGCCTCTGGCTGCCCTGCCAGTGCCTCACCCCGCACGGCCCCCCGCAAGGCAGACACCCCAGCTTCCCTCCCCCCTGCCCCCCAAACCCATGCCTTCCTCTCCATGCCGATGAGATGACCCCGGGTCTGCACCCCATCGCCCTCCACTCCTCTGCATTGCTGGTGCCAAACCCTTTGCATCTCTCTGCCCGGAGCTGATGTCCTTGTCCCTCCCCTACTCCTGCTAAAGCCTGTCCCAGGTCTCAGGAATCCTTCTCAGACACAACTGCCATCACTTTGGTTTCAGCTTCCGCCGCCATCTCTTCTCTCCCTCAACCACTCAATTTACTATATTCTGATACTAAATCATTTTTGTCTCCTTCACTGTTCAGACTTCTTGGATTTATCCTGACTTCACCAAAGCAAAACTCACCCACACTGACCAGCTTGTACTTGGCTCCATGCTCTGAGTGTACTTTAACGCTTGTATCCCTTTTCTCTGCACTCTTTCTCCCCAGTTCTGCCACTTTGTTCCACGCAAACATCATGTAATGCCACACTTCGCATATCCCTCTCCTTCAATTTCCCTCTAACATCCCCCCCATGCAATGCTTCTGCGATCACGTATGCCAAATCACTTCTCTTCTGTCATTGCCTCTCATGCATAGAAATAAAAACAAAGGGTCAGGATCAGTAATTACCCATCAAGTGAATCCCAATCTGCATGTTTAAGATAGCAGTTTTGACTTGCACCGAATGACTCTTTTTCCCAAAAGCCATTATCTCCCCCAGGGGACCTGGAGGTTACAGAGAGGGGACAGAGGAGCCTGGAGAACATTGCACCGCAGGGCACAGCTTGTGACTCCCATCTTCCATGACGATACTCCCAGCCTCAAACACTCGAGGGCTTGCTCGTGGCAGCTGCCTTTTTGGGTCTGTTCCAGTTACAAACAGCTCACAGCGGGAATGAGAACTGCCCATAATAGTCTATCAGCATCTCACTGTCAAACCAAAAATGAAATGTGTGAAAACCTGTCATAACTTGCATGCGCCTAGTGAATGAGGTGTGCAGCTCTGCCGTACCAGGAGCTCTGTGCAGGCAGCACTGCTGCTTTGGCACCTTTCAGCAAAGGTTCAGAGATCATTCCTTTTTCTGCAGAAAATGCATGTATTTCAAGAGACCGCTAACACAGGCACTGCACCATGAACCCTAAATATTTGTTCACAGAAAGCAATTTCATATTCCAGTTGCTAAGACAAAATAATAAAAAAAAGTTTTATATTGGCATCTTCTGAAAACTGAAAGACATTTTGTCTTCAAGCAAATAGCTGCTCTTCTGCCATTAAAGTGTGCATTATTAAGCTCTATGTTGCTCACCTATTTAAAGCAAGGAAAGGATTTTTCTGCCCATAAAGCAGCTTTCAGAGCTGAAATGAAGCTGTGAAATCCTGTGTCAGAAGGAAAGGGTCAGCATACACACGCTCCCCCCTCCAAAAACCAAATACTCCCAGTCCCAGTGTAAGATGCATAAGCCCTTACCTGAAACGAAGTTGGGGGGTTTATATTAACACGAGCTTGGTTCCAGTGCTGTCCTTTATTTCCACTTGAAGACCACAACGGGTTCTCTATCGCGGTCTGACCTTTCAACCGCAGGTAAACGTTCAAGCTTCCTAGAAGAGAGGTGGAGAACTGGAATTGGTTAGGCTCGCTGCTGGACCAGGGATGCTGGGCTGAGTACAGCAGCGGTCCCCTGCTCACCCCCCCCGCCCCCTTCCCATTATGCAGGAGCCTTTGCCAGGTCTGAGTGGATGTGGAGAGGTTCTTGTCGTAAATTCAAAAGTTTTTAAACGTGGGGACACTATGAATTGGCGATGGGAATTCACAGCGGAGGTAAACTGAGCGTGCAGGGAGTGCGCTCCCCCGGCGGGACAGGAGGCTTTCCAGGGTGAGATGGGCAAAAAGGAGTTCTCTGTGCTTTAGTGCAAACAAGGCATATATAACCTCCTCACCCAAGGATAAATAAGCAACTTGGTTCCTTTATGCTTAGCTCTTGCTTATAACAACTGTCCCACTTCTTGTTTACTCTGTACATTGTTTAATGGGGTGCCACAGAGCCTGGCAAATCTATCTCAGATAGATGTGATGCCCTTACTCCTGACGAGGAGTATCTTTGAAGGACAACAAAATCCTGAGTTAAAATAACCTCGGTAAGTCCCTCACTGTGGAGAAAAACCCCACAGACGTGGGTTTTCCCTCGCTGCTGACCATTAAGTTACTGGTTCCAGCACAGACAGGTGACAAGATCATCTGCAGTCAGCAGCCCTTCTCTCTGGTTAACCTCACTGTCTCAGACCATGAACAGAAAACCAGAGTGTTTTGGTACACTGAGAGATGGCAAATGCATCAACTTCATTTACCAGGGTTCGGTAACTCACATAGTTTGGAGATTTTGTTCCTTTTTGCCCACCGTTGCTATCTGCAGATCTGTGGGGCAGTGGCCTCTGTACTATATAAAACATTGCATTTGCCTTCATTCAAAAAATTTCAGACAGTCAAGTTCACGTAAGACTACTGTTTTTTTTAGGGTGTTAGGCATGGCAGCTGGGAAGCTCATACAAATTATATTTGCAATGAAACCTCTCTGATCTGAGGCAGCTGCACAGTGACTCAGCTCCTGCTAATAAAAAGTTCTTATTTCTAGCAATAGCAGAACTCAGTGCCTTGAAAAACATAAAGCTAGACGTGTAATGGAGCAGCAAATATTCTCATCATGGCTATTTCACCAGGGTGCCCAGAATGAGGCCATCCATCTTCTTTGAAGGAGGTGGGGGAAGAGATGCTTGCCAGAGTGACTGGGTGGCACCGTGTCTCCCACCTGCCTCCCACTGCAGCATTTTCTTTTTTTTTTTTTCAAATGCAGGGGAGGGTGCAGAAGCAGCACAGAGGAAACACGGCTTTGAAGGAGGACATTCTGTCCCTGCCTACACGCATGCTACCGGGTAAAATAAAAAGAGCTGAAACAGGAAGGGCCTGCAAGAAGGGGAATGCTCAGGAGGGTTCCCGGGAGCTGCCCTGCAGCCCAGCCCAGCAATACATCGCAGGGTTGTGCAGGGCTGCTCACAGCAAGGGCCTGCTCGGCCTCAGCCCTCTTCCAAACTGCAACAAGAGCTCTTGGGCAAGGTTTATGTTAGTCGGCTACAACAGTTCTCCTGTTCTGCCCATCTGCTTCTCTCCAAGACTTTTCTCAACAAGTGTGCTGGGTCTACGGTTTGGAAAAATGCAGGAGCTTAGACAAGACTACCTGAAGTTATAAAATAGAGTTATATATAATGTTATTTTTCTAAAAGACAAAAAGCAATGCCCATATCAAGTGAGGGATGAATTGCTGGCTAATTGTTTCACCTGTTTGTGCAGGCTGACACAGCCCACGCCACAGGGCTGTTTGGAAAAACTGAGTAATTTAGGTACAAAATGCATGTGATTCTATCCCTGCTGAGGTTACAGAGATTTAAGATTGTTCATAGCATACTCAGCCTTTCTGTGTCACATGATCTCTTCAAATTAATCGCAGAATGATAGAAGTCTTACTCAAAATGAAAAATAGCCATTACTGTACCAGACATGCTCGGTCGTTTCCCAGCATGTTGGTTAGTAGGGATGTACCTGCCTGACCCTCCTTGCTGGAGATGCACACACACCTGAACGAAACATCACTGACAACTTAACTAATGACACCTCCAACAGATGCTTACCCTTGAAATTCTGCCAGTAAGGTTTTGGAAAAGTCACACAGCCTTTGCAAAGCTGATGCTGTGGAGGAGGATGGGTTGGCTGTAGGGTTCACACTGAGGTGTGTCCAGCAAGAATCCATCTAAAGATTTCAAACCACTCCAAACTCTATACAAATGGCTAATGAAGCGACTCTTGAGTAGGAGACAAAAGCAGTAGGCAGGAGTAACAACTGTGAGTTAAGGAACAAAGTTTACTTTCTGACAGCATCCTGCCAAGAGAGCGCAGGGTGCTCCAGAGACGTCGCCAGCTGTAACACCGGGGCGGCACTTTGAGCGCTCATCACCCTTTGAACACAAACAGCTCTCACACTGTACTTTGACAGCATGTTCTGCTTCCACTTTTCATTTTGTGAAGGCTCTCTAATGACAAGAGAAATTATTGTTCTTGGAGTGTCAATTAGAAATGCCCCATTTTGGGCTGCAGATGGAAAAATCGGACATATAAATTGTTTTACAGGATGGTGACAGCTTTACTGGAACTACAACCTCTTTCTGTCTCAGCGTAGAGACACAATAAGGACAGTGACTCTTCATTTTCTTCTTCCCTAACAATGGCCTATTGTTTGCTGCAAATCAAGTGATGGGAACTTTTAGTTCTCTTATGTTTTAGGGATAATCTACCTTCTCCTTTTGATGGGTGCGGAGCAAAGTGCGTGCAGTTTCTGCCAGCACTCTCAGAGTTAGCTCTATGTGATCTGTCAGGAATTACAATCTGACTTCTAAGTAAAAGCCATCTATTTCAAGTAAAGAAACACTTTATCTTTCTGAATCTAACTGCCATGGCATGGGATGTAGGTCCTTGTTTATCTCGTCAGAGCTGTGCTGTAGCGTTAAGTGCTAATCTCAGATCTGTGCTCTGCTCTCTGCAAAGACTCCCAAGTACTTCTCCTTATCACTACAGAAATTTTCAGCCTCTTCTCCAGAGACACCGAAGACCCGAACAGCAGGCACAGAAGCTGAGCTGGATAAACTGGTAGGCTGTTTTTTTTTTTTTTCAATATAGTGCAATAGGCATATTCTCAAGTTGATGTCACTGGAGTCACTCGTTTTTAAGAATGGAGGATGAATATCTTTTCCCCTAAGTCTTCAAGACCAGTCCAAAGAGCATCATTCCAGGATAATATTCCATTTTTTTAGCGATCCTTTAAAACCTTGTCAGAAACATTTTGATGAGGACCAAAAACTGTTTTGGAAACAAAGTACTTTGCTCTTGAGATATGGGAATAATAACCCTAATACTGCTTGGAAATCTTATGGATACTGACAACTAGGGAGAATAAAGCAATCCAGTGGAAATGCACCAAAGTCTGCTGAACAATGCTACAGCACTTTGGATGAAAAGTCAAAGGTTAATGATCATGCATCTTAACTGAACACGCTGTCCCCAGATCCAAGGAATGAAAAGGCTGGAAATTATTTAAGCCAAATTCCCCTGAAAGACACTTCCAGTTTTCAATTAAGTTAGGTCAAGAATCAGCAGCTCACAGTTATTCAACAGAGGGATCCTACAGCACAGGGATCATACACAAAGTCCCAATTAGCAGCTACTATCCTGCTCTTGTGAAGAAATCAATGAGCTGGCAATACACGTAACAGCCAGTAGCTGCCCCAACTGGTGGCACTTGTTCCCAAATGAGGATAAGAAACACCTTCTATATGTTGGCTGCAAATTCCAGAACAGGGATGAAGGGTCAAGGCTTCTAACAGCTTGTGATAAAATAGTCAATCTGTTCTAGCAGTAAGTTTTAGAATTATCCATGGGGGATTAATCCTTAATGAAATGTAATTCTTCTGAAAAAATAAAAAAATACCACCAATTAAATATTTCCCACAGAACTGTTTAGGTTGGAGGCACCCCTGGAGACTGTTCCATCCAAACCCCAGCCCAAAGCATGGTAGATTAGATCAGGTTACCCAGGATCATGTGCAATCGGATTTTGGACGTCTCCAAGGACAGAGAATCCATAACCTCTCTGAGCAACCTGTGCCCATGTTTGACCACCTTTGTAGTTAAAAAAAAGTTGTTTTTTCAATGTTTAAATATATTTCAATTTGTGCCCAATAGGACAAGAGGAAACAGGATAAGAAGAAACTTCCACAAGTTTCACCAGGGGAGGTTTAGAATGGATATTAGGAAAAATTTCTTCACCAAAAGAGTTGTCAAGCATTGGAACAAGCTGCCCAGGGAAGTGGTGGAGTCACCATCCCTGGGGGTATCTAAAAGATGTGTAGATGTGGCACTTAGGGACCTGGTTTAGTGGTGGACTCGGTGGTGTTAGGGTAACGGTTGGACTTGATGATCTTACAGGTCTTTTCCAACCTCAATGATTCTATGATATGGTTTGATTTTTCTGGGCAAATCTTTGGGTTATAATAAGCCCTTTCCTAACCCAAAGTAATTTCTAACATGACAAACCTTTAAAAACTCATTCAAGTAGTTACCTCATCAATACAACTATTCACACAATAATCATGTGCTTAAATCACTGAAGTCTTAGAATTTTATCACTCATTAGGTGATTCTTTTCTCTTCATTATCCTCATGTGAAAAATTTCAGTGACAGAGTTCACATCTGGGGAATCAAATGGTACATATTTGCTGATTTTGTAATCTATTTCTTGTATGCATCTTGCTTCCTCATGTGTTTCATAACATTTTGTCATTATGAGGAATTGGAATTTTGAATTTAGTAGATGTGCATAAGTGTGCATTCAAACACATGGCTTGATGTTATTTATTATTTTTCTGTCAGTCTGCTCTTTAAAGATAGAATAATACGTAATTTTATACAAAGCTATTCAAAAGGAGATAATTTTGAACATTAGCTAAAATGATGGTAACTATATTTTTTAACGTTATGCAACAAAAGTGATATTGAACAATTTTGGTTTTCGACAACTAGGTGTCCACATTGCCATGAACAAATCCTCTATAACTGTGATCATTAGTCACCATCTTCACCTGGGGGTCAGCTCCTTCATCAGCCAGCATTCTACATGTCAGTTCAAGAAATTACACATAACAAGGAAAGGGTGATCTCACCAAAAAAAGCTAAGGACACAGATACTTGTTGAAAAGGTAGCTCAGGAAAACAAACAAACAAACAAACAAACAAAATCACACCAATGAGAGGTCACTTTTATGGATAGATGTCAGCCTCTGTGTCTGTCTTTCTTATACTTTATCCCAACCCTAAGGTATTGCAGAAAATCTCTTTGACCTTTTATGTTTGTAACTTTGCTCTTCACTGTCATACACCAGAAATAGTCTGGTATATGACCATATAGGGAAATTCTTTTTTTTTTTTTTTTTCACTAAGCATAGCATGGTTCAATTGCTTCCTTCCAATAAAGAGCCAAGCTTCAACATCGAGTCAGGAGAATTTAGACCTGGGGCTGCATTCATGCACTTGCAGCACAGAGACAACTAACAAAAAGCTAAGTGAACTTGTCTGCTCTATTTAAAACCTGAACCCTGACTGGGGGCAGGCAAAGGTTTTCTGAAGCAACCACCAGAATGCACTGTGAGGATGCTTGCCCTCAAAATATATCTAAAAATACATCAAGTCAGGTCAGCTTGGCACCGGAAAACTTCTTGACACATGGGTAAGCACCAAGCACCCCACAGGGATTTACAGGATTTATAAAAATTTGCCATCTATCATTTATACTTTTATATTTCCCACACCTCTTTATCATACTACACCAAGAAATGAAACGTGTGCGTTGGAAGAGCTATGACTAAAAATAGACTTACAGATACACCTTGAAAATATATACTCTCACAGCTTGTGAGCAAATTGTTCATGACTTTTACAAAGGAACCGTGTGCTGCTGCATCGCACACAGGCTGTGCCGCCCCACCTGCCAGCACATGAGGAGTGCTGCTGATAATTGCTTGATCCTGAATCTAGCCGGGGGTGACTCAAAACACCGTGTTAGTATCAGGCAAAGTCCTTGCAAGTACCACCTTTTCTGTTTTCACGCTCTAAAGTTCCCTGCTCAAAACCCCACGCATGCACGAAGCACTTCCCAGCTGTAAGAGGGGCTCCTGCTAGCGTGCTGATTAGTGGAAAACACAATTTTACAGCAATTAGGAGCTATCGGGCACCTCTCTTGCCAGCTTTGGTTGCAACTGGCCCTTGCAGGTGTTGGCAGTCCTCCCGTGCTTTTGTTTTCATACAAGTGGCCGTTTCTCCTCCTATTTATCCCAAAGTGAAAAGACAAGGTCATTGGCTTTCTCTCACCTATGTGCTGTCCATACATGTGATAGTAGAAGCTAAAACAATAGGCTGTGTTCGTGGCTCCATAAGGATTTTTTGGAGCGACACTGAAAACAGGACTAACAAGTCTGGCCTTTTCTCCTTCCAGCCTGGGGCGTGATGTCTCAATGTACATGTAGAAACCTAGGGGAAGTCCAAATGGAAATTGTTAGGTTGCAGTCTTCAAATTCCAATACATATACATGCAGGAAGACACCAGGGCTATCAAGCATCTTGATTCATTTTTCATATTCATCTGACATCACCATGGTTTCTGGGACATATTTATTCTGCATTAAGCCCATGTGCTTTCCACAACTGCTTCAAAAACGTGTTTTCTACCAAGAGTAAAATCAGGGCTAGCAGGTCAGTACTCGTAAACAACTTCAAATCGATGTAGCATTGTATATGCACAAGAAAAGAAAAAATCTTTATGACGGGGTTCAGCCTTCAGTTTCAAGTTTCCAATTTGTTCCTATAAACAGCGTGCAGGGAGGACTTGTAAAGTAAAGGGAAAATATCTCGATGGAAACCTTTCAATGAACATTTTCAACTGGCCGTGTCAATCACATGTTCGAAAGCTCCCTTTCACGAAAGAAGACAATATTCATTTATTCTGATCCTGGACTGTGCCAACAACAGAGATAGTATTTACTTAATCCACCCAAGCAAATACAATGCAGTAAGATTTTTTTTCCCCCCTTTGGTAGTGCAAGCAGGGGGCATACAATAAAATAGCATGAGTTACTGCAGTATTTGATAAATTCAGCACAGGATGTCTGACTTTTCAAATGCAAATATACACTGCAGTCAAGATGGCATGCTTCTGTTAACCGGGGTAACAGATTGAAAATTACACATTTTAGCAACACCCAAAGTAAAAACGGGGCAAAAAAAATTCTTATTGTGACAGTAAGAGAGTCCAAGTTAGAATTTAAATGACATAAACCAGAAGAATATTTCAAGATGTGGCAGCATATTTCCCCACTAGACTATAACATGAAAGCAATCGCTTTGAAAATGGCACAATAGAAACGATACAAGATGGTTAATGGCACCGTTAGTGGGTTGTGCTTTGGGACCAGCCGCACGCCTCAGCACCAGCAATTTCTTTTTGAAGTCCTAGAAGTATGCTTATTCCTGGTACGATCAGGAAAAACGACGTAGCTGGCCGAGCTGGCTGTCCTGACCCCCCAGGTCCCACACCTCGGGGAGCAGCCGTGCCGGGGGACCAGGCACGCCGCTGGAGCTTACCTTCCTTGGAGCCAGTCCGATCCGCGTTTGGCCCCGTGTTCGGGGTGTATTTTGTGTCTCTAGTGGCAGTGCTTTGTTTTGTCCAGTCGAAATTGTCCGTGTCATCTTGAGTGAAAAGGCAAATGTTACCGTCCTCAAACCCACAGTGGAACTCTCCTGCCAATGCAGAAAATGAGCAGAAATTTAGTGGCTGGCGCTATTCATCCTACGCTGCTTTGTCAAAGTACTTGTCAACGATAGCAAACACATTGTGGGATGATACTTATTAACAGCACTGGAAAATCGACGTACATTTATTTCACGTCAGCTTCTAGTGTTTAGCGTATGTTTTCTTTTGCAGTAACCTCAATGAAATCATGGTCATCAATCTTTGTTGGTGTTACTTGAAATTATATTAAAATCTTATTGTATAGCCCCTCTTCACATATTCAGACGTGCACAATTGCCCTTAGAGACATTGTCTCTTCTTACCCAGATAGTATTTCTAAAAAGCCAAGAACAGGCAGGATGTACATAAAACATGAACTATGGGAGAAAAAACGAGAAAAGTGGGTTATTTTGGTTTAGGGATAAGAACATTAGGGAAAAGAAGACAGCGACTTTTCAAAATGAAAACATTATCTCCAAGCGACATCTCCTAAACTATTCTTGGTTTTCTATAGGGATGGGAAAGCAAGTAATGGCTAAAATGAGAGCAAAGGAGCTTTAGGATAGACATGAAGAAAATCTCTAAAAATCAGGACAGTGAAGCACATGAATGGATTGCTCAGGAAGAGCATTGAGTCCCCAACACTGGATTATAATAACCAATTAGAAAAATACATGGGAGGAAGGTTTAGGTCTATCTGAACCTATATGCACATGACAAGTGACTGTATTATATCCTGAAGACATCTCCTAGACTTTCACTAAGATTCCTTTTAGGTACTTGAGGCCATGTGGTACAAGCTTAGGTCTAAAGAATAAAAATGCCAAGAACACCGGAGAGGATTACTGGGATTCTCTCATTTGTGAAACAGAGGTCCACGAGACACACCAGTCCAGTGATCCTACCTGATGAGATGAGAAAGTCCTATCGTCAGACATTTAAGAACGAAAATAAATCAGAACTTGAATGTTCGTTTTTCATCCCAGAACAGAATAAGGTCCCATGTAGTAACATGTGCAAAAGCTTAATTTTATGCACATGAACAGTTCCTTCCAAGTTTACTCTTCCAGCAAAGTCAATTGATTTATCCGAGAAAACAAGCAAATCGCTCTTCTCTAGAGAGAATGCAGCTGTCTGCACACTGTGTCAGCTACAGCCTTCTTTATAGGGGTGCAATTTATATTCATTGTTATGAGGAACTCTAACACCAGGCGCCATGGGATTATTCATCTGTGTTACACTGAGAAGGTATATAAATGTTTGCAGGTTTGGAGTTTCAGTGAACTATAAATCCACTTAAGCCACTGGAGCTTCACTGTAAATCAGTGAAGACAGAGGGACCTGAAGCTTAGCTTCGATATGTATTGCTAAGCAAGGATGCTGGTCTGAAGCTTATTTAAAATCTGGTAATGCCGCAGACTGAAAAAGCAGGCTTGGAAAAATCATCCCAAACCACAAGGTGCATTAGGAGTGATTTCCAAGTCTTTCTCCTGCTTCTGCCCATCTAAAGAGCAACACAAACCATAGCCCCTCCACAACAGTCAACATAAGCCACCATTCTATAAAACCAGGTTACCACAAAAATGCAGTCCACAGAAACTTCCTTGGCTGTTAGCATTTCAAGCAGATTGACTTGATTTCTCAGGAAATCCATCAACTTTATTGGATCCTCCAGGAGAATTAATTTCTTAAAGCACAGTTCCTTAACTGGCAAACGTGACTGATAACCATCAGCACGATGGGGAGCCAATTTCAGGACCTTGCACCTTGGCTTGGTTCTGGAAGCAACGTCTTCTGAATCCTGACTTATGAATGATGAAGAAGTAGCAATACAGAAGATTATTCAGTGAAGAAGTACCATCATGAGCATTGCAGAGAAAAAATAAAAGTAGAGGCCTGATTCTTCTGAGAGACAAACAAAGCAAAGAACAAGGCCACAGGGAATACACACGGGCAGATTACATTCAAAATCCTTTGAAAGAGAAGCATGTGAATAGATGCAGACCAACATCTCCATCTTTATCCCGAAGACCAAGATGAGAATGCAAAGACCCTGACAAAGCTCTTGAAAGACACGAGGACTCAAATGAAGCACTCTGAACAAAATGCCAGCTGTGCCTCTCATCTTCAAGAGTACCTTTACTGTGACTTGAGCTCCAAATTCGCTTGATTTACACTATATTTTGTGCATTTGGCTTCCACCTCCACTTATGCAAGCCCTTCCTATAGCAAAAATGGCACTGCTTCTACACCACATGATGAAATTAAAGGGCAAATCAGTAACTAAAGGAGAAGAGTTCTGACTACCAGATCCAGTCCTGCAGCAAAGTAAATTAACATAAAGCTTTCTCAGCCATTCAGCAGTTTCTAACACTGCCCCTCCAGTACCTTAAAAGCTGCATTTGCATGGTGCTTCATACCCTCAGAGCTTCATTAAGAACTTCCACATCAGCAAAACAAAAGATTTTTTTTCAAGTTATAAAACAACAAAAAAAAATATTCAGGCCAGATGAAAAAAAGGTAAGGAAAAGTTTGCCATTTATTTAAAAGGAAAATGCTGGTTTCATGTGGGACTCCGCCATTTGGAGTATATTGGAAAAAGTTAGTGCTAAATATTCTTGTCACTAAACACTACTTTAAAAATGACAGAAGAATAAAAATGGGAAATAGCTCCCCAGGATTAGCTCAGTACTTTTCTTATGCGAGGAGTAGGAGCATTTAAATAGATCTGGATGGTCTCGACCCATTCATTAATGGGGCACAGAGAGTGCAGGAGGAACAGGCAGCCCTTCCCCAAGCACCCATGGGTGCTCCAGCTCATGACACTGCTCAGACACTACAGTTTGCTGAAAGCACTAACAATGGCGCTAATTAACATCAAAGATAGTGGTCAATTTTTGTCAAAACACGTGCCAGCTCTGGAAATGGATTCAGGTTATTAAGAATTTCATTTCCAATTAGGACAAAATCTTGAACTGTTCTCAAGGTGAAACACTCTTCATTGTAGTGTGAATTTTTGTTGTCTTTGTCCATAAAATTCAAGTTGAATATTGCTATCTAACATCTAATCTTTTCCATTATTCATGTGTAACATCTAGTTGCACTAATTGATATTAAATCCTTATGGTTTACATTAAATGGTTTATATGATATGTTAGAAAATAAAATGTAGATCTGAGGCTACATCTCAGTGTTTAAGTCATTTGATGGTATTTCCTTATGTATTGCAGAATTTCATAAAAAGAATGGATTTATGCAATATGATTATTCCAGAAATGAAGCAGGAAGAACATGACTTCAGTTTCCAATATAGGTATTCTGTGCCAGTTGAATAGAGCTCTTCCTCTTCATTCACAACAAATAAAATCAGAATTCAGCCCAACAGGTTTAGAAGAAAACAAAACTTTTGTAGAACGTATGGATAATGATGAGATTTAATTTGTTGTGGGAGACAGAATCTCTCCTCTCCAGCTTACAGGTTTGAACCTATTTCCCGACCAAGATTTCTTTCCTGCTTTCACTCAAAAAGTCTTTGAGGAAAAAAAGGCAAACCAAAATTTTACCATCTCTTTGGTCATCTGAAAGAAGTTACACTGAGTACCCTGCAGTTCTGGAGGGCAAACCTTCCCACCGCTGGCAGTGCAGACCTAGCAAGCAGATGAAGGAAAGGGTGGCCAGGTAGACAGAGGTGCCCTCCCCGCTTTGAGCTAACACATTCCCTGTGGCACGGGCCATTCGGGTGCCACCTGCACTCCACCAAGTGCCTACTACACCTATAAAGACATTCTGAAAATGGCAGTTTTGGGTCTTAAAATCACAGAGGACTGCAGTGTGAGGCATTTGGGATGTCACTGCATTTTTTTGGTAACATCATAAAGTATATATTTAATATATTAATTAGCAAGGGTCTCATCTAGTGCTCTTTTAAGTCAATGGGAGCGGTTCCTTCAGCTCCTGTGAGCTTTGAACTAAGCCCCGATTAATCATTAATGCATTCCACAAGAAAGATCTTTCGCAAATAAGTTTAAAATTTACAGAAACGCTTAGCTGCCGTGTGTGAGAGATGGAGAGAGAGGCTGCTTGCACAGCCCCGTGCTGCTTTTCTGCCTGATTACAGCTGCATTACAGCACCAATAATGGCAGACTGAATCCCATTCCCTATACAGGAATAATTTTTTTGCAAATGTTATTAAAAGCAAGAGTAATGACAGAACATGTCACGACAGCAAAACACACATTGGTCGTGGCGTGGAAGAAAATCATGAAGTAGATAGATGTGGGGACTGTTAGGAATGGGGTGGTTTTACTGGGACATACTAAAACCCCAGCCCAGTCTCCTGTGTGCAACATTTCTGAGGATTTGGTGCCCATGGAAGAAGTGTAAAAACAAGCTGTAAGAGAAGTTCTTTCTACCCTGCGACATCCCCGTGCCCGAGCAACAGCACATTAGCAAATAGTCAGAGTTTGCATTTTCAGTCATGACTGTGGAGCTGTCTCCTGTGAATTTGTCTAAACACTTTCACACCCTAGTTTCACTTTTGGTCTCCACATTTCTCTGTGCAAATGAGGTCCATGATTCCTGTATTGACGACATAAAAAAACATCCCTCTTTTGGTTTTAAAGCTGCAGATGAGCTTCTGACTACCCTTGGAAGTATCAAAATAATTCAAGAACTGCAAATGTAGTTCTTATGCAAGGATAAATGAATTCAGAACATTCCATAAATTGACTTTTCCTTCAGGATCTTTACCATACCTGTTGAGGTGCAGACACAGTTCCTACACAGTACTTGAACTTTCAGCTATTTAATTTAATGTTATTTAGATACTCTCATGACTAAACCACAGCATCACTCCTACACACTGAGATGCAACGCCCACAAATGGATGTTATTACAGAACATCAGTATTTTCCTTTAGATGAACAGTTTGGGCAGTGGGAAAGAAAGATAAGCAGGAGATATAATTTTTCCTTTCTCCATCTACTCTTCCTTTAGTGTCTTGGCAGAACAAGAGAAATGACACCTTTAGCCACCAGCCCAGCTCGCACGCAAAACTAAGGTGCAATCCATGGGCTGCAACTGGAAGTGAAATACTTTTAATTTGCTTTTTAACTGTAAGGGACAATGGGTACAATTCTTCATACACATAAAAGCTAAAAAGATAAAGAAATACTTACGTAGATGTGGATTTACTGGAGCTGGAAGACAGAGCAAAAATAAAATTAGCACAAAGAAGAAATTCTAATTCATCAATATTCAGATTATCCTAACTTTCCCATTGTTCCTTCCCCCTCAAGACCTTGATCATGACTCCTACACTGAGACAGCCATCAAAACTAGTAACTTCCTTTTTGAGCAAATTTTGGGGCTCCCTGGCAATCCAAAGGCAATGATTTCAGTGAGAAATTATAGCCTCTCCCACTCAAAATGTCTACGTGCCATCAATAGGACCTGCAACCTGGGGAACAAGATGATGTGATTAATCATCAAACTTAGATTACAGGCTCAAATATTGTAAGGGTGGGGACAGCTGCACAGCAAAACTCCAGGGTGATGCCTTTGTATAAGGAATTCATTGAAACCATAGAAAGGATGAGTTAATCAAAAGCAGAAGGTCTGCATTGGACCTAGTTCATCACTTAAAATTTCCTTTTACCATTGTTCAAGGATAGTTATCATAATGAATTACCCTCTGCTCAAAAAATAATACTATTCCTCAATTTAAGATGCCTGTGTAGACATGAACCGTAAGAAACAGCAGCACCTGCATTCTTCTTATAAATGCCAATTTTCCTTTTAAATGGCAGAAAACATAAGCACAGCAAGTCTGTGAGAAGAGGTTTGATCTCATTAGACCCAGAGACACAACCAAGAACAAACATGAGAGTCTTCTGGCACATAAACCCTCTCGCAGGGAGGATATACTATAAAGAAATCTAAGAAGATGACAAAGGAAGGTGAAGTGTGCTCTCCTAAAAAGCTCCTTCTGAAGGAGCCACCTTCAGTGACCAGGACAGGGACCCACCGCACGGCTGACTCTGAGATGCTGCTCTCCCAGGGCTGTGCTCTAAAGAGACACAGGAGCATCGGTGCAGCATCCCACCACCCTGCATCCCACCTCTGCCCACTCCCCACCCCTGGGCAGGAGCAGCCCACGCTGACCCCCCACCTTGGGAGGCATCGAAAATAATTTTGCCAACATTGCAGAGAAGTCTTGAGGTAACTTTGCTGAAAAATAGTATTTCTGTCTGTTCTTTTATGTGTCTATGCAATGCTCTGCATGACAATTGGGTACTGGGAATCTGTGGGGAAATCGATAAAACTGGCACTCTTCACATATCCTTGGCAAAATTACAAAAACCTCTACATCCATAATTCTTTAATATTTAAGTTCATTTAATTAACACCGTAATAGGATGAAACAGATTGAAAGTCAAACCTCAATAGTGCCTACAGATACTTTGACCATGGGAATGGCTACACAGGTTGAGGTCCAGAGTAACCTGTACAATGCTAAAGACTGGAAATCGGGTTTGAATAAGAAATTACTCTGCAGTTCTGTGCCACCTGTTTGCAGAAGGGTAAATTTGAGGATGGATGACTTAGGAAATGGCCTGTCTGCTATAAACCCTTACGCATATGAGAAACAGAAGGATGCTAAGCTCACAGTTGGAATTGTGTGTTACTAACAGAAAATCTGAAATAAAATTTTATCTCCAAATAATGGGTACATCTGGCAATGCCAGACATCAGTAGGAGTGTTGCTCCGTGTTTTCCCACTGCCCTTCTCATGCCATGTGTACAGGCATGAATTCTTGGTTTGTGACCCCAGCGATGGATTCTGCGTAGTTCTAGATTCAATCTGAAGTTTGCAGAACAGCCCTAAATTAGCAACTCTGCCATTTTATCTTGCCTTCTCTGAAACAAATGAACAGTGAATTGCCCCAGTTCAATCTTCTAAAGAAACTTAGTCCTTACATTATATTAGATAACCTCATAGCTTTTACCAGCAAATTACCTTTCATTCTCCAAGAAACATTCATTTTCTGAAATTCTTAAGTGATTGAACTTGGAATTAGCTGAAATTGCTTGGAACTACATTTACTGATTCTTGATTTGTAACTAAACATACTGGTTTTTATGGAAACTATCATCAGCGTGTAACCTTGAGTCATACTATTCGGATTGTTCGCAGCAGAGCAAAAAAGGCTTCTTGCCAAACCAGCTTCAGCTCACACTGATTGACAAAAGCAGAAAAACAAATTAAAGCAGTTAGGCTGAACTTAGCTTACATCATAAACTAGGGAAAAAAAAGCCACCACAGCCAAACAAAAAGCCCAGAAAGCTCACTTTTCTGATACAGCACACTGCTATAAGACGATGTGTAATGGCTCTAGCTCTCACTGCGGAAAGGTAAGGTGGCTGTGTGCATGACACACAGGTAGTGAGTTAAATTAGCCATAAAGGGAAATTAATGGTGACCGAGGAAGTAAATTCCCAAGGCTGACTTTGCAATGTCTGGAAAACCTGTGCACCTCAGAGGGTTATCGCTGTCCTGCTCAGCTGACCTGGGCTTGTGATGGGAGGAAGGTTTTGCTGGTGGAGAATCTCAGGAGGAAAACAAAGTGTCATGAAATGTTTGATCTTGGTTAGAGCCAAGACAGATGATCCCTTAACCTTCCTGCTTCTCCTCCAGCAAGCAGAGAATAAAACCTGCTGGAATTTCAGTTTGTTGAATGATTTTACTTTTCAGTGATCTGTATCTGTGCAGATCACTGCAGAAAAATGCGGGCTGAATGTTTTTTTCTTAATCCTTGCCTTTCTATTAGGTGCAACTGCATTTATACCAAGACAGTTAAATTTCCCACAAATCCTTCCCAACACAGACACTTGTTCAGCTTACTAGCAAGGCTGCAAACAAAGTTTTCTTAACCATGAAAAACATAAAGCCAGAGGTAAGTAGAAACACGCTAGATGATCGGCTGCTTTGTTTTTTACCACTGGGAACTGGTTACTTGTAGTAATTATAACCAGCACCTAAAAGCTTTAATCAAGATCAAGAGTCCATACTTCTAAGCACTTGGTTTGCACAGGAAAAGCAATCTTCAACTGTAAATATTGCTACTCTACACGGACAAGGCTTTCTTCCTCCCTTAATAGCAATTATTGTAACTTACTATTTATAACACTGGATAATACTGGAAACATATGTCTGTGCAAACTTATAAATCCTATCATTTATGCCCTCGCTGCCATCAGTTTTATTTGTCTGGAGCTAGAAATATAATAATAATAAGAACAATTATAAATAGTAACTACAATTATATACTCTTCTTCCATACAGAATCTGGGGAGTGTCTAAACCTCACATGAAAACTTCCAAGCTGGACTACAAAGCAACTGGCCACCATCATCTACCTGCTGCTGAGTCTACGTACCAATAGTAATAATGTTGGGTTGTTGGCTTTCTTTTTCATAGAAGGGAGCTAAACTTGCTTCTTTAATCACTGGTTAACTTTAAAAATATTTAAACATAAGTGCATATCTAAAGCAGCAAGTGCTGAAGTTTTAATTGGAGGAGTTGGAGGACTTTACAGCCGGTTTGTATCAAATAGGCTGACACAGATTTATGTAGAGTGATGGAGACAATATTTAAACTGTTACTATGAGACATATCTGCTGTTACTACAAGACATATCTGTTTTGTATTAGCTTACAAAACACTCATTAGTGCTACTGAAATCGCCCTGTTTGTATCTACTCAGCAGACTGTGTTCACTAGCAGAGTAACATATGTATCTACCAAAGAATTTGTCAAGTGATGTTTGGCTGTAATTATCAATGTCACTCCTACTGCGATGATTGCTCTTTTCTCCTGTCCTTTCATCATGCAGAGGAGAGTGTAATTCATGGCAGGAGAAGGATTTCCCTATGAAATTCTTGCACCATGGGTAAGTTTTTGATTCATGGGATTGGATACTGCAGAGTTTTTATTTTGTGTTTACAGCTCCCACTTGGGATGGCAAGGTATACGGTAAAGAGCTCATTACTGAGGTTTTCCTGCTTTAACAGTCTTCTTATTTTGGACATTCAGATGGCTACCAGCAGGTTAGAACACTGGAAGCTGTTATTTTTATATATTAGCAATTTCCATGTTAATCTCCAGTTGTGGGTTTTCATTTAAGAGGTGATATGCTCTGCATCACGTACAAAGGAGTGTGACCCAATGAAAACGACTTCACAGGTAGGATTAATGTGGCTTAACTTTAGCGATCTAAAAGTTAGACACCTCATCTAAGACTGTCATTGGAGTGTCTCTGAAGTCACTGGAGAGATATGGGCATGTCTGGAGGGTGATTCATCCCCTGGAAGAAATCTGGAGAATCCTTCTCCTCTCCAGTAAGGCGGCAAATGCAACAAATACACTAGAAATGTCATGGTGATCCTTACACACTTTATAACTATTCTAGAGAAATCAGTTCTGCATGGTAGGACCCAATGTTGTCCTATTACAAAAGACAAACTTAAGCTGTCAAAGGAAAACCTAGGTAGTGCATGGCCTATCTATCCTCTATTTGCACAAAAATGAAACTCAATTGTAAAAGTTAATGCATTACTTAAAGGCAGAAGACACCGCTACCATTTTTAGCAACTCTATGATGTGTCTGACCTGCTTTTTATGCTGCTTTTCTTCAAAATGGGGTGAAAACCTATTAGCCTGCTTAAAGTTTCAAAAAATAAGGGGAAAAATGTTTTTCATGGTAATCCCCACCAGCAATAAAAATACATCAGTGCATTTTAAACCTAAGAAAAAAGCTGCTTTACTCTAATGGTGATTGAGCACCAAACAGGTTGCCCAGAGAGATTGTGAAGTCTCCATCCTTGGAGATATTCAAGACCTGAATGGATATGGTCCTGGGTCCTGGTCCTCCAAAAAGAGTATTCCTGAAGTGGTGGCTTGAGAAAGAAGGGCTGATGCTTCCAGAGGTCAGTGTGCTTCTGGGGTACAGATGCAAACTGAACACACAGAAGCACGTGCACATGCACAGAATTCCACTGAAACATACGAAAATTCAAATGTTTTCCTCCTTGCCTGAGGCCTCAGAAAAAAAAAAAAATGTAATGGGAGACAAATGCAAAAAGTTATCTTAGTTCTCCTTTTAAGAAACATTCGCATGATGTCTTTTATTTTCTGGGTAATGTTTATAATTATTTCTTACATTGATGCAGGCCTGCTGCTGTGCATCCCGCTAGCCCATTAACTGCTTTTCCAAGACTCCAGCATTTCAGATTATAACTATTGGATTTGCACTATAATAATTTATGTGATACCATTATTTTATAACTGAAGCTATAACATCCTTAAAATTATCATGGTAACAGTTTGCTGACACTATAGTCATTGGACCAATGTTGAGATAAAATGCATATTTTAAGCACACAAAGCCTTGGCGGTTCTGGGATCCCTCTTCAAAAGGAAGCCACTTTAGGTTTATCTTATTGATTAGCATCTGGCTCATGAGTTCTGAAGCTGTGAATTTGTCGGCACCAGAGTAATAGCACTGCGTATTGCTCCAAAAGCATCTCTCCATCTGGGCCACCAGCAACAGCTTCCTCTCTCCTGGGCGGCTGGATTTTGCATTGGCACCTCATCAGCACGTTTGAAATGGGATGTTATTCACATCTGTGCTAATGGCAGATTCCAGCAGAAACAATTTCAGTAGACAAAATATGCCTTTTAGGCTGCATGGGAATGTTCTTCCTGACAGCCCAGGGGCTAGAAATGTAAATCACATAACGTTTCATTAAAACCTCAAATTCAGCACGGTTGTGAGCCATAGCTGAGACCTCAGTCAACCTCCTGAGACTTGCCAGAGTACAAACACCACCAAAAAGGAGCATAGTGACTGAGTGACCTAAATGGTGTTTTTTTCTCCTTATATGAGTGCTGCTCAGTATTTAAGTCATGGGAGAAATTTTGAGGTCCGTGGAAGAGGGAAGGAGCTGCCTGGCATGAGCTGGCTTTAAGGACACAAGTTTCCCTATCACAGCCAGCACAGAGAGATTGGGATTGCTGCAGAGAAGTCCCAAGTGTCTGAATGAAGCTTCTGCTTCTGATCACCTTTGGGAAGACTCTGCGTCTTTCCTTTGTGCATGTGGGGATACCCAGAGACCGGATTCCTACCACCAGTGTCAGAAAATAGACACTTATTAGGGTAACAAGGTCCACCAAGGAGCCAGAGTCCAACAGGAATTGCAGGAGAATGGCCATTTTCTCCTCATTTGTATGTTCACAGATTTAGTAAACAAGTCCTTTCTTTAATTGAGATTTTGTTCTCATGAGCTTTGTGAAATGGAGACCTTGCAAACACTTTCCTGCAATGGGCAAAACTTAAGATTCATCCATCACCATCATTAGCAGATCTGGTATTCAGTGAAATATGCCACTACGTTCTTTAGAATTGATATTTGAGATTATTTAATGTAATTTTATCCCCTGATACTAAAACAGTGATAAAAATAATTTATGATGAGATTGAGTGAGACTGAGCTAATCATTGATCATGAAGAATTGCACATACAATGCACATGACACCTAGATTTTTTTTAGATTTGTTCACTACTTAAAACTATCTGATAATGACGGTTGAAAGTAATTCTTGATCTGTGGGTTGCTTCCGGGGCTTCTGGTGCATGTGATTTCCTGCTTTGGGCTCTCTGATCTGTATAGCAGTAATTACTGTTGGATCCAGCTCCTGGAGCCATTGGATGCATGTGGCTAGCTGTGACTTGTCCTGTGTGTCGCGTGGCTTTTGTCCTGCGGGATCAGCAAAGTTCCTTAGGATAGAACCATAGAATCACTGAAAGGTTTGGTCTGAAAGGGAACATTAAAGTTCATCCAGTTCCACCCCCCTGCCCCAGGCAGGGCCCCCTTCCCCCAGCCCAGGGTGCTCCCAGCCCCGTCCAACCTGGCCTTGAACCCTTCCAGGGATGGAGCATCAACCACCTCCCTGCGCAACCTGTTCCAGTGCTTCACCAGCCTCACAGTGAAGAATTTCTTCCTTGTAGCTAGTCCAAATTTCCCCTCTTTCAGTTTAAAACCATTACACCTTTTCCTATCACTACAGGCCCTGCTAGAAAAATCTGTCCACAAATGATAAACTCATACTTTCATTATTCTGTGTTCACAGATATCCCCCCCTGCCACACGCTTCCCTTTCTCAATCATAAAAACTTTCCACTCAGCACATCAGGTTCCCACTGCAAACTGCACAATGATATCTTTAGCAGAGCTACCTTCTCTCTAAGGTACCTCTTGCCCATTCATTGTAATCTTTACAGAAGAAAAACAAAAAAGTGATCCAGTTATTCATTAAATAAATACCCTTAGAAGGGTATTTTGAGGAACATTTCAGAGCTCTAGGAATGAATTCCTGGTATTGCTGGGAGACCGAATGGAAGGATATATGGATACTGTATTTTGTTGAAGTGGACAAATCTTTGTTACGACAAGACCTTTTAGAGGAAAATGTATAAATGCCCTTTTCCATTTGCATAGGACTAGAAACGGTCCCTTATTTTTTTTAGTCATTCACATTCAAATAAAAACTTATCAAAAAGTGTTCATCTGGGGGGGGGGGGAAAGTATTTTGATGATATCACAACACTGATTAGACACCTTCAGATTATTATTTGTTTTCTAGATTTTTCTTCAAAACTCATTGCCCTTCAAGTGTTTGAAGTAAGAACAAACTCTTGAAATGAGCTATTTCACAAAGCTAACATTAATTTGTTCTATTTTTTTTTTTCCTTTATTTCACAAAAAATTTGATATGATTTTGCATTTTGGCTGTTCAGGTTTTTTTGTTTGGTTGTTTTGTTGTTTTTTTTTTTTTTTTTGTTGTTGTTGTTGTTGTTGTTGTTATTGTCAATCTTCCCAGAGGTGGAGACTTTAATTTCTACCCACTTCTACCCAGAACCCTCCTTCCTGGGAGCCCGATCTCATCCCTTGCAGCTTTATTTGCAGGACTGGCAATCAGTTCACACCGTGCATCCCAGTGCAGCCGTCCCCTGTGGAGCAGACCGAACGGTGCAGAATGCACCGCAACGCATTCGCTTGTACACGAAGGTCTTCTTACCACTATACTTGATGACCCGAATAGTTGAGTCCCCCTCCCCAAATCTGGTGATGGGCGTTAGACGGACTTCATACGCCTCTGGCTTGATCAGCTCAGTTAGGTTGTAGGTAATTAATTCTCCCTTTTGAATATTTCCATTCACTGTAATTTCCTGTTCCCACCAACGCTGTTGTCCAGCCTAAAATCAAAAGAAGGATGCAAATGTCAGAGCTTTTGGGATAGATGTTGTGTTCACCTTAGAAATGAATGGGAGCACACGCAGACCTGGGCAACCCCGGGTGCTTCCTTTAAACCTTCAGACAACCCAGGAGGATTAGAGATAACAGCGAGAAGGCGAACCTCCCTGCAACAACCCACTACTGAGCATTCCTGTAAGATCCAGATGAGCTGACAGACTGCAAAACCATTTTACCAGGAGTCCACCCCCCTCCTGCCACCTGCCTCGTCCTCCTCTGCCTGCGCAGGCCCCACACCACACCTCGGGCAGCCCGGTGGGCACTGGGCCGCTCTGGGCCGCACTGGGCCGCACTGGGCCGCTCTGGGCCACACTGGGCCGCTCTGGGCCGCTCTGGGCCGCACTGGGCCGCACTGGGCCGCACTGGGCCGCACTGGGCCGCTCTGGGCCACACTGGGCCGCACTGGGCCGCACTGGGCTGCACTGGGCCGTTCGCTGAGCGCAGAGCAAGCGCAGTGTTAATTCAGTTTGGGGACATTTCTGACCCTTGCCACACAGAGACTACAGCGAGGGACGAAGCGCCTGGTTTGCGATGGCGTGTAAGCATTCAAGCAGATACTGCTTTTTGTATTTTGCAAAGTCTCGCTGAGTTCTTCCATCTTTCGGAGCCTAAATTTTTTTTTTTTTTTCAAATCTGTCCCTCTGTTTAAAACTGATTTGTCAAAATGTCAATTCTTTTTTTTTTTTTTTTCCTTAAAAAAAATGCTGTTCATTTCATCAGCTCACTGAGGCTGAGTCTACTTGTTCTCAAATGCTATACTTTCAAACCTGACTGGGTAAATTGGCTCCTCATGCCTAGTTGCCCCATTCCCTCCAGGATTTTAAAATAATATTGGCCAAATGCAGTAGCAGATGTCTTTTCTGCCACGGTGCACACTGGGCAGGGACAGCTGTGGCTCTGTGAGCTGGGTGCTGCCTCCTCGTTAGAGGCAATGTGGTTTCACAGCTGGCATTTGGGGCATCATTTGAAGTTAATAAGAGCACAATGAAGAACTGAAATGCAGTTTGATTTCCAAGCACTTACCACTTTTGTTGATGAGTGAGAAAGAAATAGGCTAGCTATTAATGGCCTTAGTGCATAATTATCAGCAATCCTTGTGGTCTCAAAGATGGATGGATTTCAGAGAACAATGAAAGTCAATATGAGCAATCAAGAGGCTGTTTTATTAAAAAAAGCAAAGCATAGATTTTTGTGCATTATAGACTGCACAGTCTTTTCAACATCAAAATCCATAGTTTCTTTTATTTATATGCCTTACCAAGAAATGAAAAGAAAAAATCTAATTAAGAAGAAGGCATCACAAGAAGAGAGTGTCACATTGTCTCTAACATTAACTAGTTTATAGATAAGCAGAAATCGTACAGATTTTGGGCAAGAGAGTGACTTGGTATTGCAATATTACTTGCAGATACTCTGCCTTATTACAGACGCTATCTGCAGAAAACAAAGGAAAAATCGTTAAATATTTACCACACATCCCAAGACAACTGCACAGGTGCAGTGATGCTAAAATAAGATGTTCCACTAAGCTTACTATACCTGCCAATGCACTGAAGTTCTTCCCTATTATATGTTCACCAATACAGAGCTTATTAAGGATAGAAAACTTTTTATTCCAAAACTTTAATTTGCTGATGCAATAAAAATGTACACTGAAATCCAGTACTAAATCTACCACATTTCATCCAAATAAAATACATTTGTAGCAACATTAGCAAACTCCAAGCTTTAAATTCATAGCAGTGGGACAGAGATGTCAATACTTTTACCGTTAAAGTATGTTACACGAGTACAGCTATATGCCCATTAAATAAAACTTATGACTGCAAAGCAAGAAAGCAAGAGAAATTCTTAAGAAAGTTGGGATGATGGAACAGCTCTAGACATCAGCTTTGCTCTGCTGCCACCAGAGTCAGTGTGCGTTTTACTGCGCTTTGAGCCTTTGTACTACTTGAGTTAGACCAAAGCTGAGCGCATCTGAGATTTTATTTCAGGGGTTCTGCTCTTGCACATGCTGGGTGAGCCATGCTATAAGCTCAGGTGGCTCTTCGGGGCTGGCCCTGCAGGGGTTAAGTCATGCATAGGAGAAATGCTATGTAAAAAAAATCTCAGCTTAGGTTCCAAATGCGAAAACAAGTTACCGTAAGGAAAAAACAACATAGCTGCCTGCCTGAGGTGCAAGGCAGAGGGATGTGGGTGAATACAAATCCTGCAGATGCGCAGGGTGGGGGTCTGCCTTTGAAACCCGGCGCTGGCACCAGAAAGCTTTCCGATGGACGTCTGGGTGTAGAACGGGGCGAGGGGTAGGTGCGTGGCTGAGGGCATCGCGGCGCGGGGCTGGGAGCTGCGAGCTGCTGAGCCCAGAGGTGCTGCAGCTCAGCAACCCGCAGTGTCTTCCCCAAGCCGCTCTGCCAGGGTGTGCACCCCAAGCCCGTCACCTCTTCCTTGTTGCAACCATTAAAATGACCTGCTTCATAAGATGTGATAGTAATGAAATGTCTGCCACGACTTTGCACACAGCCTGGACTGTGGAGCATTCCACTGTTAATGGCTTCCCAAGGCCACTACTCTGCGAAGAGATAGTGAAGGTAATAAAGAAGCTGAAAATATGTATCTTTAAAGATCATCCCAGTGGAGCTCATGAAAATTTTCCATTTGACATATTCTGTCAGATGCCAACTCTTTCACAGCTCTTTGTACCCAAGTACCGAGACCAACAAAACAAACGATGAAACCCAAGGTACAGGTTGGTTGACAGAAATTCAGTCTTTTCTCTTTGTCTCTTCTTTAGATAGCCATGAATAAGAACGTGCCATGGATACCTGCTTCACCCAGATTTTGCCGTGTGCTATTCCAATATCCCTCAGCTTGTGAAGCAAACAGCACGCATTAGGGCAACTGTTCCTCCCATCCTCTGCTCTGCCCACCAGCAGCCCTGGTTTTACGCCACACGCACCTCTCCTGCTCCCATCTCACAGAAACCTTCCAGGCACCGCTGAAACCCAAGCGCTCAGGAGAAAAGTGACCCAACGCTGTGTACGGCCAATGCTACGTGTGGGAAAGTGTGTGAAGGTGCAAGGACGAGGCTCTGCTGCTCACGCACATCAGGTGAAACAGCCACTGAGCCCTGATCTGCACTGAATGCTCACAACAGTGATGCACGGATTCTTTAAAACACTGCAGAAACAAACAGAAAGAGCACCGGGACCTGTCATATAGGTTGAATAATGCATAAGGCACTGTGCACCCTCACGGGCTGTCAGGGACCCCTCCCAGTAACAGATAAGCCTTGTCTCGAGTAGACCCTTGTCCTTGCAAGCAAAGTGATGAGCGTGCTGTAGAGAAGATATTATGGATAATTGTGACAAGGTTTAGATTGTATTTTTGAAGCGGTGCATGGGGAATTTGCCCATATGGATCTTCTCGCTGTGGACAGATGCTCGCCATACCCAGTGGTCAAACTGGAAAGTGCTTCCAGAGGAAAGCTGCTGTGCTCAGGGGAGGAACTGGAAACAAGCCTTTATGAATGTCTGTAAATGTACCAAATTAACCAGCCAGCCAAATAAAATGATCTTCTATTTTAAATGTGCAAGTATTTTGGGGTTTGTATTTTTTAAACACAACTTTTTAAATTTTCTAAACTCAACATGGTTGTTTTAAAATGCCCTGCAATTAAAATGACCAAGGTAAATGAGAATCTTTTTTCTCAAAGAGAAACTTTTTCAATCACAGGCCCCTGCTCCCATACTGGAAAAAAAAAAAAAAAAGATAAAAAAAAATTGCTGAGAAACTCCATTCTATCCAATATTTCTGACCATACAAAACTGTGGTAGGAGCTGAACTCACCATATCTTTATAGACATCGATTACAACAAGGCACCTAGTGCAGCTCCTGCCACAAATTCTCAAAAGTTTTATAATGAAGCCTCAGTGTTTTATCTGAAAGACATACTTGATTTTAAATTAAAATGATAATCAGAAATTTCCAGAATTCATAAATGAGGAACAAATTTATATGTATATAATTTATCCCACAAATGGAAACCTAAGGTCTATATATTTTTCTTATTTTGCCTAAACAGCTCACCCAAAAATGTAAGTGATGCTAATATACTGGAACAGAAATTGCTCTGCAGACCTCATGAAGACTGCTGATCCTTCAAAAGGAGAATTCCATAATCTTACTTCCGATTCCAATTTTTATTTTATTTTATATTTTAAAAATCAAATTATCAAGTTGAATACAAGCAATCTTCACAAGGAAGATTAAGACCATTGATTATGCCCCAAAAGTCAGTGGTATACCGCCGAACGGAGTTTCATTATTGTGTCTGTCCCTTTCATAGAAATCAGTAATCAGAGAAACATAACACTCTGGAGAAAGTTACCCAATTTTTGACATTAATTTTTTTTTTTTTAATAAACATCATTAGTGGTTTTTTTAAGCCACAGCTTTTATGCTAACATGTTGGTTGACAATTACATTTGTGAGTACTGTATTAATGATACTGTGCTTGCAGTTGTGTGAGCTACTGCTGTCTTTCTGGCAGTTGTTTGAAGTTAGCTTGCCTTCGCTTCGAGGTACTTCTGACTCCTTACAGTGGTCTACTGTAAAGATATTCCCTATTACACCTCACCTTTGGATAAGAAAATACTGAAACAGAGACTTCATGAAATATTTTTGATAATTAATACTTCATGTTCAAAGTTTACAATTAACAAAACGAGTCATGAGTTTGTATCCAATTGGGTTGCTGCTCTGCATTATCACCCTTTTCTACAACCACTCAAACAAAAGCAATAAAGAAGCTCCGTTATTTTATTCACTGAGAAAGCAAAACAGTTTGATTTTTCATTTCAGTATTATGCTTCCTAACCCAGTACTGGATGTTGGTATTTCACCATAGGAAGCAACACACATCATTTTGCCTTGCAATCAACA